AAAAAAAAAAGAATGAAGGTATATGTTAATAGTGTCATTCTTATGCAATATTATTTATATTTACAACACTTTGTTTTAGATAGTAAATACTGTTTCATAATATTTAAATCATAAGTGATTTGTGTGTGTTAATGTAAATGTGCTTTTTATTTTCCTTACCGTCTTTGTTGCAACTATTATTGGAAGAAATAAAAAGAAAACAAACTTAACAAATTTTTTATGACAACTCGACTTTCTTAGTTAATTTAAATATATATTAGTTAAATATATATATATATATATATATATTTATATATATATACACATGTATATATATTTGTTATATGTATATATGTATATATATAAATGTATATATTTTTACTGGTGTCACTGGTTACTCGCTGTACCATTGCCAGTTTATGCCATGCCGAATCATTAATACAGCGGTACGCACGGGAGGACGTTAAAGTAAACAAACCAAAAACACGGCAATACAGACACTCTCACTGCAAACTTTTTTAAAAAGATCGTAGCCTTCACAATGAAAAACGGGGATAACACACCAAGAAACCCATTAACCCTACCAATAGGTCACAAAATGGTTTTCGGCAAAACCATCATAGCATGTGATTTCAACGACCAATCAACCGAGGTGTATGATCGGGGAAGAACTCGTTTGGCCGTTACATTGAGGAAGGTTGTCTCACGACAAATCCAATTAGGATTGCATAATGGGTGGTAAGCGCACCCCTACATTTCGATGATAGCTAAAGAGCGGTAGAGTTGATGTTTTTAAAATTCAGTAACGGGAAACGCTTGGCACATTGGCTATTTCTATTTGTATATATGTATATATATATATATATTTTTTTTTTTATTTATTTATCTATTTATTTATATATATATACTATATATTTAACAGTCCATACTCTAATGTAAGTAAATAATAGATTAAAAGTAGTCTACCAACTAGTTTATATCTCTTCATTTAATTAAATTAACGAATTATCTGCGCTATCAAATAATACGTGGAAAGCTGTTTATTAACGAAAAAAATTGTATGAGAAATAATAAAACAATATCCACCTTTTTCTTATGCCTATATTAGTAGGTTAAAAAATGTTAAGATTTCTGAAAAATATTATAGTCGATTAGCTGTAATGTAAAGTGTATTTAAAAAATGATCAATTTATATTTAGCATATAAAATTTAAATGTCAAAATTATAATTTTATTCTTTACATCATTATAGATCGTTCATTCCTTATTTCAAGTAATTCATTAGAATTATCAAAATCATTTGAAATAAACATCTTATTAAAAAGGGATATTAAAAGGTTAGAAAGTTATTAAAACATTTTACAACTCCTGTAAGACGCTTATAATCATCTCCTTATCAATTTGCTTATGTAACAGTGTATTTAAATATGTTGTATTTCAGTTTTTTTTTTTAATTTTTGATAAAATGATTTAAAATTTTTATTTACGCAAGTTTTTTTTTTCTTTTTTTAAATTCAGCTGCATATACCGTACCTTTTCTTTTCCAAAATGCCATAAGACAAAGTACGAGTAGCCCATTAAATCCAGCAAGTGAAAGAGCAATCATCAGCACAGATAACTTGTATCCTTAAAATAAAATTTGATACATAAAAAGTAGCTAATTAAATACAAGTTGTTGATTTTTTTTTTTTTAAATTGTGTTGTTCAAAAAATGCTTAACAATGAACTAAATGTCATTGACATGGATTACTATATATTAGAGAATTTGGAGCCAAAATGAGAAGAAAAACAAATAGTTATAGATCCTTCTTTAATTGCGGCTTTTTATTCACATAATTTTATCACCATTCAGGAAAACATATCTTTCTTTTTACATTAGATTTGATAAACGATGTTTTTAAAAAAACAGAAACGATACAGTGAAAGCAATCACTTACGATCAAGAACGGGTCTGTATGTTACCGGTTGCCCAGTCATATTTAAAATGTTGGTAGCTCTGCATGTAAATTCTCAATAGAAGTATAAAAATTTGAAGTGTAAAATATAAAAAAATAAAATAATCCAAAAAAAATTCTATGAGGGTAAGTTTACTTGATTCTATATTTTTTAGTCTTTAATCTCTGTCCTTTGGATATTTAACCGAAACACATTATACAAGAGCTAGACTGTCTTATAAAGCATTGTTGGAAAACTTTAATTGTATAGGGCATTTAAAAGAACGAAAATAAATTCAATCTTAGTTTCTATAATATTGAAAGTAGTGTACTTCATAAATACTAATTGCAGATATCAAATTGTATGGAGCGAAATTGAGCTTGAAAACTGAATTCAGTAAATGATGAAAATCGTTTTCTTATTGATAAATCTCAGAGAAATTAGCATACAATTCGATTCTGAATACACAATTTGGAGAATATGAGTTGTCAGCGTCCGTTGTGATAAAATTTAAGAATTATGCAAAAAATCCAATAGAAGGGGACACTTCAGTCATAATCCCTATTCATTAAAAAATAAAGATCTAAGCTGGTCTACTCAAACTAATGAGGAATCTCCCTCCTTAATGTAATGTACATTACAATCCCCACAACACTTATAGTAAGAAAACTGGAAAAGCATAGTGAACAGATCCTATGGGATTACCAATGATGATTTCGACAGAAGAAGTCAACCGTTGATCATATTTTTACTATTATATGTCTCCTAGAGAAATGTTACGTATATAACATCGACATACAGCAACTATAGGTGGATTACAAAACAGCATATGAAAGCGTAGACGGGAATTATTTATACAACGTTCTACAAGAACTTGGAGACCTTAACAAGCTTACTCGGTTCGTGCATATGACGATGGCTAATTCCTAAATTAGAATCAAAGTGCAGGGAGAATACTCCAGGGAGTTCTCAATTAATCAGGGTCTCAGACATGGAGACTCACTATCATGTCTCCTGTTTAATTTCACACTAGAAAAAGTTATTTGAGGCATACGCGTGAGCACCAGTAGAACCATAACAAGCTACTTCCAGAGAGATACTACAGAACAACAACCAGCAGAAACCTCTTCTTCTTCCTCTTATATTTTAGGGGCCCACGACAAATTTGTTGAACCTGATATAGCCAGCCATTGCAGGACCTGGCATACGCAGACGATATAGCGCTCCTGGGAAGAAACAGTAATGACATAATTAAAGCATTCAGGTAACTTGAACATGCCTCAGTCAAAGCTGGTCTTGATGTAGATGAACCGAAGACAAAATATATGAAAATGTCACAAAACTCCCACGGATGACAACATCAATATAAACAACCAAATATTTGGATGAGTGGCTACATTCAAATATCAAGGGGCAACTATAAACGAGCACAATGACAAAATTTCGGAGCTGAAAACAAATAATAGCAGCAGGCACCCGTTCCCATTTTAACCAACAAAAGCTACTGGGAAGCAAACTCCTCTCAAGGGAAACAAAAAAGACAATATACGCTATTATCATAAGACCAGAGTAACTTACACTAGTGAGACTTGAACCCTTACCAAAAAGCAGAGAACTTTCTCAATACATGGGAGAGGAAAATCATCAGAAAAATGTACGGCCCAATGATGGAGAATGATATCTGGAAAATCCGTACAAACCAAGAGCAATACCAATTGTACAAAGATCCACCCATCATTGCAACAATAAAAAAAGCAAATTTCGCTGGGCATGACATATTGAAAGGATGACGGAATGTGGAGCAGCAAACGTGATATACGGGCAGAAGCCTATGGGCAGACGTCTCACTGGTCGCCCAAGAAAGAGATGGATCGAAGATGTGGAATCGGATTTACACTAGTTGGGGGTTCGGTCATTGAGGCGTATCGATTTGCATGGAAGGATGTGGTGGAACAGGTCATGGCCCTAAGTAGGCTGTAGTGTCACTGATGATTATGATGCAAAAAGTATGTGCAGAAATAATGATAATATAAACTAAATGTATTTGAATCTTCTTTTATAATATGATTATCGTTTGAATTAACTTTCATTGCTAAATTCTATTTTTACCCATTTTTCTTTAAATGCTAGTGTATTGTGTAGTGTACTTGTTTGGAATGAAAAGGCGTCGTCTTGGGTAAATCTGAATTCAACAATGATGACGAGGAACTAAAAGTCTATGAGCCATTACATTGGGCATAATTTCCTTCTACGAACGGCAGAAGGTCTCTAAATGCTCTTATATTACTTATATTCTAGTTGTTCTGAGTTGGGTTATATACCAATGATTATTACCAACAGTGTACATTGACTAAGACTGTACAAAGAAGCAATGAATATATTCTACAGTATTTATATTAGTCTTTCTTGAACTTGACTGCTACTTTTATAAAATGATGAACGAAATTCAAATGTACTGAATTGGCTCAGACACATTGGCGTAGCATTGGTTATGCTGCTGGTGGGCGAGCGCGGCTTTTAGCCACCTCCTCTTAAGATAAAATTATTTCTATTGGCCGAAAATCCCCGCAAATAAATATAAATAAAAATCGCCACATTGAATGAACGCCTCTTCACATATTAGCCTACGCCTTTGTCCACGCACCGTCCACTTCCATTCCACTTGTTCATAATAAAGATCCTCAATTGTCATCATGTGATAATGTTAATGGGTTAAGTGGATGCTGTTAATACATCAAGTGCGCCTTGTGTCAAAACATGAAGTAATAATGTGTGTGACTCTAATTTTATATGTTCAACAAAACTTCCTACACATTTGGTAAGATTATGAAATAAACATGCTAGCATTCATTAAGTTTAATTTATAAGAAAATACGCAATTTATAAAATATATATTTAATTGCAGAGAGATGCTTGCCCTTTTACAGTTATCGTTAAACAAAAAAAAAAAGTATTTAAAAAAATATTTTGCAGAGATAATTTGAAGTGAAATGTTTAGTATACTTTGTTTATATTAGTCTTCGACTTACTTGTAAAATAAACTTTTGGATAAGACGTTGTGAGAAAGTGAATTTTTAAAAAAATGTGTTTTAGGATTAGGAAACTTAAGCCACTTTTAAAATAACTAACACTGTTAAGGTGGTAAAAAATTTGAGCATTACAATAAAATAATCATTAACACAGATTAACACACATTATTACTAAAGAATTTAAAAGTAAAATAAAAATTTAATTTAATTTCTTTATAATGCAAGCATGTCTTGTTTGTAAAGGGAGATAAAAATGTGTAAATTATACATCAAAAATAAACAAAAAATAAATTGTTTTCCTGCGGAATTTTCTACTAATTATATATATATATATATTGATTGGGGATACTTTTTCAAAACGACTGACAGAAAGATACGGATGAGTGGATGACTAGCATTGTTTTGTTGTTTTTTTGTGTGTGTCTCACTTTACTCCTAACAAGTTCCACTACACTTTTGCTGTATCCCCCCCCCTTTTTTTTTTTTCCCACCCATTTGACCTCGTTACAGATCCAACCTTCACTTATGAGGTGGACACATTCTCATGTTTTTGTTCCCCTTCCCTTTTGCTGTTTCCCCCCCCCCCTTTTTTTTTTTCCCACCCATTTGACCTCGTTACAGATCCAACCTTCACTTATGAGGTGGACACATTCTCATGTTTTACTCATATCTTGTTGTAGTATTATAAGCCATTGGATATGATGGCGGTTAAAAGAGCTCTATAGGTTCATTTTATCGTCTCTTTAACTTGATTATACTCATAAAAAAAACATAGATTTTAATAATAGTCTTTAGTTGTTTTTTTTCCCAAAATTTCTGAGTTTGCCATTACACTACAATGTACTTTATTTTCTCATATAAAAAAAAACATTTTATCTAGTTACTTTTAGTAACTGTCAACAAAGTAAGCAATATGAAAAATATTTTAACTTTTAATTTTCTATTCAGGTGATGTGCTGTTTAATCTAGAAATTTACCTTCGTAAGTATTTGATGAATTCAAGTTTAGAATTGCAGATTGGTTCCCTAAACTAACTACGCTATTCTTTTTAAACCATTCCACCGTTGTGGTTACGGTGGTACTGGCTGTTGACACGCTACATTGACAAGTCAGCATCTCTCCCTGTTTAATGCTGTCTGGACAGTCAATAAGTGTGACCTCGGGGTTATCTGAATAAATGTAAACGCTGTCAGCGAAGCATTGGTGAAGAATTGAAGAGAATAGGATAAAATTAAACTACAATTTTTTGAAATTATATGAATTGTGTATCATTCTTGAAACACTAAACTTACATACAAAATATCTCTCTGTATATATCTTTCTTATAAACTGTTTAGTCAATGGCTACAATCTTACATTAAACTACTGATATTTACAATATAATTCTAGGCGCATATTGATTTTTTTGGCCCCACGAGATGTCTTTAAAATATTTGTTATAAACTAAGTTATTTTTTTCCCTTGCCTTTTAAAGGTACTTCAAACTCATAACTAATTATATGACAATAAAAAGTCAATGGTTAACAGAGCGATATTCACAGTAATTTCGTAAATATTATGTAGTTTATCATAATTATTATTATTATTAATATCATTATTATTTAATATTATTTTAATTCTAAACAAACTCACCTATATTAAAAGTGCGTGTCCAATTTGCACCATAGATCAAGTCACTATGTGTGCCAGTCACATTGGGGTACACAGTAACCAACCATTCGTAGCGACCAATGGTTAAGTTGTTGCTGTAGAACTGAGCAGAACAGTTCGTCTTACAATATAACGGTTTCCGGAACATGTACTGACATTTTGGTTGAGACTCGATAAAGGCAGTTTGGTGTGCTGAATGAAATAGAAACTTTTATTCCATTTTTTAAAAAATGAAATTAAATAGCATAACTTATGGCGAGTGGGAACGTCAGTTAATTAAAAACGTACATTATGAATAAAGTATATTTTTATTCCTTATAATATGTTTTTCTTTTTAAAAATACAAACAAAGAACGGTGTGTAATGCAAATGAAGTCATCGTCTCCTAATCGTTCTTTCAACAATAGCTTTCAACTAGCTCTTGACATGCTGTTTAGAAGTAAGGTCTCATCTGAACTGAACTGATAACGGAACACTTAAAAACTGTAGCTAAACATAGCTATTAAAAAATAAAATAAAAACCAAAAAAAAAAAAAAAAAGACTTCTCGACCCAATAAAAGCATGATCGCTTAAAGCAAAGTTCGAAGTCCGTGTTCTCACATATCCTTAAAGTATTTGTCATTATAAGTAAGGTCTCATCAGAACTGAACTGATAACGGAACAATAAAAAACTGGAGCTAAACAAAACTATTAAAAAAAAAAAAAAAGACCAAAAAAAAAAAAAAAAGACTTCTCGACCCAATAAAAGCATGATCGCTTAAAGCAAAGTTCGAAGTCCGTGTTCTCACATATCCTTAAAGTATTTGTCATTAGATCAGAAGATAATGGAAGTGTGTGAGGAAAATATGAAATATTTATAAACATCTCACCGTGTTTAACGTTAGGCCGTGTTGGCAGAGACCATAAGGATAAACCCTGTCTGCAGTGCACCACACAGTTAGCCACGAGCTTGTAAACTCCACTTCACACGTCATGTTTTTAGGCCGGGCTAAACGTGGTTTTAGGGGGACAAAATGTTTAAAGTATATTACACTGTAACTAATGGAGAGCTAACCATTTGTAAAATGTCTGTTATCCAAAATCTAATAACGCGAACATTGTCATGCGAGGCCTAAATAAACAAACAATAAAACGTATGATTCCCTTTCGTTTGTTTCCTCAAAATCAAAGGGCTAATCTATTAATACGAGATAAAACTTCTGTTAATATTTACCAAACACTTTAAGATCGCATATTATGATCGCTCTTTTGGCGTCACCATCTGATCTTACACTCACAATAGACACATCCATTCTTGACACGCTCAGCAAAGTGATGTTTAAAACATAGGAGTTCGTATCAGTCGATAGCGTAGTCTTTGAACGATTGCCAAATGTATCATGGCATTGATCGTTGACTGGACAAAATGACATTAACGAATTGTCTTGATACCATGCAATATCATCTAGGACAGTTCGTCTTTTAAAACTGTTTGTAAGACTTAACTCACGTCCTTCTTCTGATGGCTCACAGGTCAATACATTTGAAACTGTGGTTGAAAATAATCATATTGATGAAAAAATGGAAACACAACTTTAACAGTCCTTTTATTATAATGAGTTGCAAAAAAAAACTATAAGAAATAAGTCAATGTTAAAGACTATCTTCGATTGGTCACAAAATTCTTAATTGTGTCCCGAATTTTTGTTCAATTTTACTTTTAAGTAACACTTTAAACCCTAAACTGTAGGAATAATTCGGCATTTTTCAATGACATTTTTCGTAACTGCTGGCAAATATTAAACAACGTAAAATAATGTAAAATAAATAGTTACCTGCTATCAATGACAAAACAATGAAAATACTTATCTTTGATGTACATGCGAGGGTCATGGTGTTTGGACTCTCTACGATCCAAATATATTTTATATTCGTGAATCGTACAGCTTCGTGAAGGATCAACTTCTAAAAATGTACCATTTTTTAAGAGTCTAAAGTCAAAACAGACAGGATGTTTCCCGTGATTCATCACTTTCAATGAAAGTCTTTATCCAATTAGTTTTAAATTAATTGGACTTACTCGAAAGAGTTTGATTATATATCTATATATTTATCTATCTATCTATCTATCTATATATATATATATATATATAGTTATATATTTTAATTTAACAAATAAACAAGGAAGTCATATAGTTTTTATTTCAAAATTTCATTTAAAAGTTGACGTCTGAAAAATCAATTTAGACATCCATAGGAAGGTTAATACTTGTCTTAGAGCTTCTTTGTTCTCAGTAAAAGTTGTGAGTATACTTTTTAAAAATGTAATCCTTATAATAAATTAATGAATTGTGTATAAAAGAAAAGTAATACATATTTTAAAAAGCAAATGAATTTACTATTGCGGAAAAAAATAAAACATACAAATTCATGAGATATTTAGTCTGAAGGATTCATCGATTTAACTCGTTTAACATCCTTTGATTCTCTTTTAAAATAATTTCACACCTCGAACGTTACCCACTCGGTTTGTTAGAATTTTTAGAGTATCTAAGCAGGGCAAAAATAATTACCCGCTAAAAAAATTGTTATAATAGTAATTATTAATTTTTTCGCATTTCTTGTCCCAGCCAATCCCCGCCTTTTGTCTAGCATTGACATGTTCACCTAAGCTCACCGAACAAACTACATATTACTAATACGTATTATTAACTTAATCTAGCAGAGATGTAGAAGAGATCCAATAAAAGTTCCTGAGATTTGTGAAACTGCCGTTGGGCTTTCCAGATATCATCAATGTTTTGTTTGGAATTGCTTCATCCAAAAAAGAAATAGTGTTTTCAAATGTGCATCAATCTCGTTTGATGTGTTGACTTCACGTAAATCATTTTTTAAAATGTTTGCTCACACCCATAAGTTGTTCTAAACATTAATACCATCTCTTCAGTTTCGGAAACTCAACATCTGGTAAGCAATGAAAATAAGGAAAGTTTTCTCCTCCCATTTGTGCTTTAACCAATGGCAGCTTTCTCCGAAATCCTTTGTTGATTCTAAAGAGAAGACAGGTGAGGCTCTCCTTTCCCTGAAGTTTCAAGTTTAGTAATTTACTTGGAGTTTACTTAAATTTTTCATTGATAAAAAAAAAAATATTTCTTTTTGGAGCTAATAATAAAGGAACGGGATTATACCGCAGCGAAGCAATCTTACTAATATGTTAAAAAGCATTTCAAAGAGTTCAGAATCAATTTCATCAAGAAAAGCCAGGAACTTACGGTGATAGTGTGCATGTCCCCGAATGAAGCTATAGCAAAAACGACTGGTTTCAGTGTACAATACAAATCTAAGTCTTTCCCACGGAGTGCTTGCTGATGTATAATGCAGTACATTTACAGAGTGCCGGGGATTTGCAAATCTTCCGAGACCTGTTTTGCCCAAACATACCTTTCCTCTCTCCAGCCATGTTTTTCATCTGTCATCTGTGACACATCGAAGCCGATGCCATGAAGGTTATAATGTGCAAAAGCGTTTGCACTTCCACGAAAATGTTTTTTCCAGCTGCTGTTCCATGCAGGCTGCAAATGGAAACCTACTCTTCCATTATCTGAAAGTCTGAATTGCCACCACAAGTAAACATGAGAATTGTTGACGTACTCGGAGAGATCAGTAGACTCACACAGCGCCAAAGAATACCACAGCAAGTTACTAGCCTTCTCGAATATCTGTAACACAGTGTTCTCAACACGTTCTTCTGTTCTCTGCAAAACTGAACTTACCAAAAGGCTGTCAGTTCCAGTCGCGGCGAGTACAATTTTTAATGCCCCCGCATGTTTTTCAACATCTCTTTTCCTTTCACCCATTTACAGTTTGTGGTAGTTATTAGACTGTGATATCTTAATGGAAATAGGCTGAGTTAATATTGATTCTTAATGTATATTCTGTTAACCAGATTTTGCTTTAAAAAAAACTCATGTTACTTGGTAGGTTTTTAAAATCTTGTCATCCATTTATAATTAATTCTTAAAAACATACATTTAGTTAAATGCTGATCTAACTTGGAGTTTGAACAATGTTAAATTTCACCAGTAACTTTATTTTTACCAGTGACAGACAGTGAAAATGGGATATGTACCTCCACTCAATATAAACTAATCTCTATAGCAAACACACGTCTTCAAAGCAAAGTGACCACAGATTGCCATATACACGTCGGTCATCTACTTTTAGTAGTTAACTTTTTTTTACTCCAGCTTAGCTTGATCCCACTAGGCACTGCGATGTGAGTAATAAGTGTATTCATCATATATACAGTATGTCAATGTATTTGCATTTAAGAAACTCTATTGTACGATTTTGAAAGGATGCTGTAAGATTTTAGGAGTATGAGGAAAAACAGGTCCGCAGGAAACAAGAAAATGTAGATATCTGTAAAGTAATTTAAAATGATAAATGTAAGGCTCATAGCAGCCAGAAAATCTCCACACTTGTGAAGATCTTCTAGTATTTTAAACATATTTAAATTGTATCACAACGTCTTGTGGTCCATACGTTTTATCATGCAAATTCAGATACCATCAGAACAAATTTTCGGTAACCATTGAAATTATGTTTAGTTGTGGGCTGACATGGGTTAATACACATTTAGAAAACCACGGCTGGTAATATGTTTTACTTCTAACCAGACGGTAAGTTGATCTATTTCTCTTTACACATAGATTTTTTTAAAAAATCATACACTACAATATCAATTGATTTAAATATTTTTGTGGCAAAAAAACAACATATAATGAACTCTTTTACATACGATTAAAAGCAAGAGAGAAAGCATTCGCAATCACAGGCTTCGTGCGTCAGCGACAAGCCGACTGTGCATACTAGTCGTCCATTTCATGATTCGCAACATGTTATCTGACTACGTTGTATCTGTGCTAAATCGTAGCTGTAGTGCACTGACAGCTGTTTTGGTGATTTGAATCTCATTCAGCCCCAAGTTTTCTAGGTCTTGACATTTTGGTGGCTTTCTCTTTGATATAAATTCTTTGGTGTCATAAGCAAATCATTTACAACAAAACACACACATAATCTTTAAAATAAACCATGAATAAATGAATTCATAATTTGTCTTAATTCGTTTTTTTTTTTAAATCGCACGGAATATGTAATATTTAGACAAAATATTTCTAATGTATGTTTTTTACAAATTGTTTTTTTTTAAAAAGGAAAGTACTGTTGGAAGCTCTAAACTGTTTAGATCAAGTTCAATAAGTCCCTTGAAGTTATGTACTGCATATTTTATCTACTTATTAGTGGTAAGGCATAACATTTTATAATATTTCTTTTGTACAACTGATTAATTACAACTTACAAATTATATACCGGAAAGCAGTATCAAAAGCAGTACATCAATAAGATATCGTTGATGACAAACAATCGTGAAAAAATAAAGGAAGTGGGGAAAGCTCAATTGAATCATCAATGATTTGTTAACCCACCAACCCAAGTGTAACTTTCTAAAGGCCTACAAATAACCAAGTTTTGTAATTATTCCTAAAGTACCCAAGTGAACGAGTCAATAAGGCAGTGTGGAATTAAAGACTGGCTGTAATTTTTAACAATTTTCAAAAATGGTAGTACCCTTTTTAATAGAATAAGATTGACAGCACGAGAAATATCTAATACTTGGAAGTTTAAGATTTTTTTTTTCATGTGACATCTTTCATAAAAGATATATTTACAGCTATATACATAGGATTTATTCACATTAACATAAAGATCTTTTTCAATTATATTTCTATAAAATTCCTTTTAAGACACAATTTTAAAAATGTGAATTGAAAAAAGAAAAAAAAAGAAAAAAATATAAAAAATAAATATTACTCAAGTGCACTAACTGAGACTTTTTGAAAACACGATTTCTGGAAATAAGTCGAATCATATTTATTTTTGGTATATTATTTTATTTTATGCTTTTTTTTAATTATCAAAAGTTTTAAAAAAATGCTATTATTACCAGGCTGAATAGATGTATTCCTTCTTTCTATCGTTTTTATAGTTCAAGCTCACGCTCTAACGCTAACACTAGATGAATATGATCAAAGGGAGAGTGAGACCACATGCACTAAGGGACTACTTCAAGACAAGGATTATGCCATTTTCAAAGGAACATTCAACTGGGAAGGGTCGTCACCGGAGTATTCAAGAGTTGTCGAGCTTGGTCTTCAAACAGAAACCCTACCTTACATTGATATTGTACATCTGAGTAACAAAACCACGCGTGTCTAAACATTAAAGTGCTTATTGTATTTCGGTTCACAGAGCTATTTTGAAAACCAATTTCTGTCCAGGGTAAAATATGTGTGGAAACTTAGCCAACATTCCTCCCCTGCCCGGCAGAACCTGTAATAATTTTGGCAAATAAAGTGCATAGAAGATATTTAATAAAACAACTAACATGTTTGTAATTATAAAATAGCACCCCATTGGGTGATTATCTTCAAATCATGTGCCTGCCCCACAACCCGTACGATGGACCATCGTCCGGCAGGAAATCTAAAGGAAACGGCGTTCCTTTTTCGAAATAAAGTAAATAACGCCGTCAAAGTGGGGGGCTCTTGCGGGACTCATAATTATTATTGTCGTCTGTTTTTAACCAAAATTATATTATTTATATATATATATATATATATATATATTGTGATATGTTTTCTGATTAAATAAAGGAAAATCATACTTCCAACATACCGCTTTTAATTTAAAAAAAACCAAATCGCGTAATAGTTGACACAAATGTATCCTTCATCTTTCCCACGCCAGATTTGTGTCATTCAAACGGCAAATACGTGCCGAGGACGTGAGGGAAAACACCCGTGTTACTGTGTAGGCGTCGACGACGCTAAGACATTTCATTTAGTATTCAACATCACCGCAACAGCCTCTGTCAGCCTGGCGAAGATCAGGTTACAAGTGTCGCACATCAACAAGAGTCAGATCTTCAGTGAGACTAGGACTTTGCCAGAAATATACGGTAATTTTTTGTCTTAAAATTGTTACTGTTATTTTTCTTTATAATTAATAGTATTGTTATTGTCCTAGCGATTTTTGATCACTTTACACGCTCTTGATGCGGCATAGCAAGTGCGGCAAGCTCTAGCTGAAGGTAATGAACATGCTGCAAATTTCGTAACTGTGAAATATGCGATAAATTCCAAGAAAAAATGTTTTTGTTAAGTGCAATTTATTTAATAACGTTATTCACGCATTTTTATCAACGTATAATATAAATGTATAGAGCTAATATTTTTCTTGTGCGATTCAATTTATGAGTATGATAAATATAAAAATATTGTTTTAATAAATACAAAACAGTAACTTATTTGGAACAAGGTAATAAGACAAATGGTTGTTGCCATCATAATCAGCTAGTTTGTGGTAAAACAGCAAATTAGCTTTCCTTATCATCTGGTAAGAATGCCTGTAAATAAACTTTCATTTTGCAAGCTTATAAAAGCAGGCTACGCGGTTAATTTAACTTTATGTTTTGAAGAAGGATAAAATTCAGTTTTAAATTCAAATTTATCGGTATACCATAAATATAATCGCATCATTAGAATTAGAACATCAAATAACATTTGAAATATTCTCATTTTTTTTTTAATACAGACAGAGCGAAATCAATTCAAATCAATGATCTTGTACCAGAAACAGAGTATTGTTTTCTGAAGTTAAATGCAAGTGACCAAATGAATGCATGTTGTCATAACCTGCCCCAACCTTGTATTTTAACAATATCGCGAAATAGCCTCAGTGTGGCGTCTAGTGTTGTGTGTTCTTCATATCGACCAAGTGGTGACTCTCCGAGGGCGTCAATTTACAAGTTTACAGTATCTGTGTGTGGTGATGAACATTATGTTCAGCCAGTAACGTGCATAGCTGAACATGGTATGTACTGACTCATTTGAAGCTCTGCCAATTACATGTGTAGCTCAACATGATACGTATGCCGAGACTTAAAATATGTAGGTCGTCAATAACTTCTAAGATAGTAATGACCTAAGCGAAAATTCACTGGTTTAACATATAAATTTAAGTATTGAATAGTTCGGAAATTACGCTATATTAAACGGGCTTGGGGACAATCATTTTGTATATATCGCAATTTCTTGGAACATCCATCTTCCAGAGATCCCAAGCTGATAGGAAACAAAAAAAAAACTAGCTTGGACCTCATCCCACCCCGTGGAATCAAAGGTACACAGGAGTAGAATATACATTCCCTTTAAATCTTAGATATAGGTATATATTTATTTTTAGCAAGTGACAGATAGTCACAATTTGACATAATAAGTTAAAAGCTGTCAAATTATAATTAGTTGCATTGAAGTATTATGCTAAAAGGATATTGTACACATGTTTTTAAGTTCTTTCAAGTCACGACACACATTCCTATGGAATGTCCCCTCCTGTGCTTTAGTAACTTGATTATCCTAAGGTGTTCATTTGTCAAACCACCTTTATATATAATGTAGTCTTGTTGTTTTTGGTTTTTAATTTCCCATAATCCACATAGTAAGACATATACATATACGTATTATCGCTCCTAATTGTTTGTTCTTTTATTCGAAACGAAAAATGTGTTAAAAGTTGTTAGAAACATCTCCTGGTAATTATTTAGTGAGTGATTCGAAACTAGAATGATCGACCTGTATAGAATGCAAAACTCATAGATTATGGAGCAGCTGTTTCCAACCTTTGCTTGGTTAAGCATATTATTAGCTTATTAGCCGTTACTAGAGATAAGCAGGGGAAAATAAGCCAACTTTAACCTAGTAATACAACACTCGACTAAACGTAATAATTTTGTTAATGTTTTAATGGACTACAATAATAAAAATAATTTTTAAAAACTATACAATTCAAATCTGTTTCTGTTTAAATTTAGTTGCTCTTTTTTCTTCATGTTCATGTTATGCCGGGATGTGGAAAACGTCGTTCCTGTTTATACGGGATAAGCCCAACCTTAAGAAATGAGAAAACATGTTCTTATTCCAGTTCTTTTATCCTCAAGTTAAATACACACATTTATGACCATGAAATGGTAACCGTGAAATGAGAGAAATGAAGTAATTCAGAGTAAAAGAATAAATTTTATTTTTAAAAAAAATATATTATTCGGGCTGTTTTAATTACCCCTACATAGCTTACTGGAATAGAATTTAGTAACAACAGACATGGTTTTGGAATCTTCCTTAAGGGATAAAATTAGGCAGCAACCACGAGCAGGCTACTCTGTTTTACAAAAATTTACACGTAGCCCATGCGCAGTTAATTGTGAAACGAAGTTATAACTCTTTGAAGACTTAGTAGATGCAAATACATTAGAGTATAGTCTTTTACCATATTTCAGTTCTTGCGAAATTTTGGTACTTTGTCAAAATTGTCATTAATTATATATTGAATGCACAAAGATAATATACGAGATTTTATCGAATAATGTCGTTTTGTTTTGGCTATCAAAGAATCATGTTTCTTTATAAAAAATGATTTCACTGATTTTTCCCGATTTTCATTAATAACTTCTTATTTTTAGGTATTCATTTGTCACAAAATAAAGATTGCTCACTGGAAATGGCATGTAAACATTCAACAGCAATGTTTGGGCTAAATCTTGCTATCTTACTGTTTCTCATTTTAGGTAATTTTTCTTATTCTTATATGTATTTCGCTACGATTTTTTTTAAACTTTTGATAATATTAGTATTCATTCAAATAATTTTGTTTTTGAAAACCTAATATTTATTTCTACAGGTGCTCTTCCTTATATGGCTATAATTTTGTATAGGTAAGAATTTAATTAATTCTGAATATTTAATAACATCAGTTTATAAATGACTTTTAAAAGTATACATGACAATGGACATGTTTAATATTTTGGTAACTTACAATTAGAACAAAAGTCCACAATTTTTAATAAATTGTTGAAACATATCATTAACAGAAACAAATGAATTTTTAAATGAAATTATACACGTAACACTTTAATACGTAAATTGTTCCTAGTTCAAATAATGCACAGAAATAATTGACATATATAATTTCTATAAATTTTATGAAAGCTATCATTGCTGTTATAATGAAGACTATTTCTACGCTGTTTTTATTTTCTTTTGATGGTTCTTAATTATTATTTTGAAGAAAAAAAACTAGATTAAATTTCAAGAAAAGGAGACGAAATAGTAAAGAAACTCATTCAGATGAACATCTCTAATACTACGCAAACCTGAAGATGAAATGACACAGTCACACACACAGATTCAACGTTTTACCTTATGAAATAAATGTACATTGATCAAGAGTTGATGTGCTCTCGTTGATGCTAAGAGCTTGTGTGTACTTGTAGTGTATGTTCAGGGTGTAAGGGACGCATATGAGAGTTTAGTGCAATAAATAAGTTTTATGTTTCGGGGAGGTAATGTACATGATCTTGTTGAAGGTTTGGAAGAATGGTGAGAGTGAAGTTTGAGAGTTAGGGTGAAAGACAACGAGAGTAGTGGGTATGAATAGCTGTGTGTTTTTTTGTTTAGCTTCACATATCAATCAACGATTTCAGTGTGAATGTGAAATCTTATTGGGGTTCTGACCAATATTATCGGTGACATAGCAGAAATGAAGGAAAAGGCTGCCATAAGATTGTAGGGAAAAGAAATTAAAAATCCTTTGTGTTGCCTTTTTTTTTTTTTGGTGCCTTAGAATTCCACATCGATCTAAATAGCTCGCTTACGTTGTACACTTGCATTTAATGTTTTTAAATGAGTCATACAAACATATTTACATAAGAGGACAATAATGTACACTTTTTAAAAAAGATTCAGTTTTTTTTTTTTTTTAATGCTACAATCTCATTAGTTGCTAGCGGTGGCGTGCAGATGCGGGGAGAGACACTAGAAATATTTTACTTGCCAATGGGAGGAGGGAGAACTGGGAATGTTTTCCCTTTAGCTGGGGTGAGGAGATAAAAAGATAAGACAAATATGCATTCTATTTGATAAAAGTCATGACATATATAGATATGATCTTGTAATTGATGCCATGTTACGGTTATTCTATATCCTACTGTTCTGTTATAAAAAGCTTTTGCTCTGTCTCATATGTGAAAGCTTATGACACAGTTTAATTCTCCGCTTACAATTAAGTTATTCTATTTACGTAAAAAGAAATCGATTTTTAATGTTTCATGTTTCTTGATCATTCCATTAGGCATAACTAGGTTATGCTGTTAGGTTATCTCAAACACCTGCACACCACTGCACAGTACATTATCTCATACTATTATTTACAAATAAGACTAGTATTATCATTTTATCTTTAATAAATTTTACTAAATTTTATTTAAAATCATAATAAAAAACATTCTTAAATTGCATTGGTGTTTTCATATTTGATTTCAAATATTTATTATTATTGTAATCCTTATTATTTATCTGTAAATTATGTTTATATATATCAACATATATATTTATTCAAATACAAACATTATTTTTAAAATAAATTTTATACTAGAAGGATAAGTCAAGGTATTCGTCATATTATTTGGGCTTAATTTCTATATTCCAGTTCAATTTCTCTTTTCTCATGTTCCTAGAAATGGTGTTCTAGTATATTGGCCTACTTTTTTTTTTAGACGCAACAATAGAGCAGCTGTCATTGATCGATATTCCTAGCTGCAGTATCAGCTGACAATTTGCTTGAAAGTAGGTTACATTAACCCTCAACACACCAAGGCTCTCAATCTTTTGCCGTTTTATGTTCTCGATTTGTGTTGTTCAAGAAGCTAAATGTTGTGCCCCATGAATAAATTCACATTATTTTTAAATAAGCTTTATGTTAAACATAAATTGTCATGTGTAGCAGTGTGCTGAGTGTTTGGTTGTTTGGTGGCAATACAATTTTAAACGCAGTTTACAAATAAAAGATAATCAAGATTAATTGATATTGGTAAAAGCAGAAAAAGAGTTTAAAAAAGGTGGAAGAAAAGTGTGGAAGAAAGAAGAAAAAAAAGTCTGGAAAAAAATAAATATATAGAACAGGTTATTTACACTATTACAAACATCTCAGCTTTCAAAATCAACGGTTGATGCGACTACACCTGACACATTTGCGTCTATTGACTCCTATCTTCCAACGCCCTTTCAAATTTCCACGTTGAGTGGCCCTTGCAAGAAACAAAGTATCCCTCCAAAACCATACGCAGTTACATTGCGAAACCATCTGAAATGGTTACAAAAAATTTGATCGAAAGAAATTTCGTCGACGGAAAATTGAACGACGGAAATTTGATCGAACGGGTATTTGGTTGAATCTTTTTTTTTTCAGTTTAAACGCGTTTTGCTGTATAGTAAAATAAAATAATGCGTTCAAAAAATTCGTTGTTTTTGCAGCCAATGTCTGAATGATCATTTAAGACTTATATATTTGTTATTAGATGTATCTGGATAAATGCTACAAATACTTCATCAACATACACCAAATAATGGAGGGAAAAAAAGTTATTTATATGTGCGGTATATACTCTTTCTACTGGCTTATTATCTAATTTGTTTTAATGCGTTCTAATTGCTAGGGAAGATTCTTTATTATTCTGATATTTAAACAGAGACAAGTCGTTAGGGATATAATAAATGTATATAAGTATTTTTTTTTTAAACTTCATTTACTCAGTTGTTTCCGAAACTGTGTTACAAAATTAGAAACGCACTCTATTTTAAAAAATAAATAATAATAAATGATCCCTACACTAGTTGTATGCAAACATTAAATTCCTAATTTTTGTTTTAAAATATTTATTTTTTTTAGTTTCATCTTATCTAACTCAATATATATGGATGGAATCGAGTACATTGAAATTTATGCTATAATGATTATTCTTAAAGCATGATGCTTTTAGAAATTTTATAATTAACACGTATCTCTAATGTAACAGTCACGCCCATGATTTTATGATCAAATATAATATCAAAACAGATTGCACATGTTAACTACTTAGCAAGAGCTCTAATTAATTCATTGAACTTGATATCGATGTCAAAGTAGTTAAATACCATGTTGTTTAAGTCTCTCAACTTTTTAAGTGGAAAAATCTAAATAAATATAAATACCGATGCGTGCAAACCATAAAAAAAGTATAATTTTGGGTTATGGTAAGGAGCGTCCAATTTTCAAAACAATAAGCTATTTATAATCGAATTCTGTAAGCCTGAAACAAGATTAGCCTGAACGATATGGATCATAAAATATAGATCGAACAAAGCGATATTTTTTTTCTCCATTAATTGTAACGGCTGAAAGGCACAAAGTTATATTACTTTTAAACTGTTTTAAAAATTAAAATTTATTAGTCACTTTTTTTTTACAAAAATATGTTTTCTTTCAAATGTCTCAACGGTGGGTTGCAGTGGCGTCAGTCCTTGGGGCTATGCCTAAAAGAAACCATAGTAGAAAGTAGGTTGCAAAGAGGCAGCTGCGACCCAGGCTGTACATTCTTCTTTACATTTCAGAAAATCATTTTTGAAGAACTTACGAGACTTTTTGAGGAAGCAATGCGGCAAAAAGCTTCAACCACCCCATGTGGCAGCAACCGTAAGTATACCAGTGCTGATATGATATTAAGATAAAATATTTAAAGGAGACCCACATTATAGACTGCCTTTGTACCTACGAAGTTCTTATCCAGCCCTGGACGGGATAAAAATATCTTCTCTTCTGGTTTTAGTCACAGTAAGGCTTGAACATCTCAACATCTCACGTTGGGATTACATGACATTTGGGTATGCAATTATGTACGTTTATTGTTTTTATATGAATAATATTTTTACAATATACATTGCATGAAATATCTTGTTTCCAAAAACCTCAATAAATATTTTATGTACGGGTATCAATTGTGCTTGAATACATTTTGCGCTTTCATATAATAATTTAAATAACTTCCTTCTTCATTAATTGTTTTATAAACATTAATCAAATGGTTTTAAAATGTGTTTTTTTTTAATGAAACGATGATTAATAGAGTTTGCCTTCTTTGCAACTTAAGTCACATTGAATCTTATTTTGAATTTCATGACTAACAGATTTTTAAAAATTTTATTTTTAAATTAAAAATTAAAGCGAGGCTCCACTAAAAATCACAATGGCTTTCTTGTCTATAATACGCTCCCTTCTCTTGATAGAGTACCTTTCAAGATCCGTTGTACTCGGTGCCGAGGTTTAAATCTCTCTATCAATACGCTTCCCTCCATGCAGAGACCACTTTTAGTGATAACTTCCCAACAACTCTTCATTTTTTAAAAAATCATGTATAATATTAATTTTGCTTTTATTGGTGTGTTTCTTGCTTGGTGGAAAAATCTTCAATATCTAATTTACCCACTTTCCGTCATCCTATCGAGCTCAAACTCGGCGTATGGTCTAGTTCCCAATGACAAACCTATTGTAACAAATATGCAGCCGCAACCCCTTAACCCCATAACGACATGTTTTTTTTTTTTTTTTTATGCGAATATGAAAGAAATATGATGAAACTGATTTCACGAAATAAAATCTCCGATAACAGCCCTAAATGAGATCCTTTTTTTTAAAAAAAAAAAACATATCGCAAGTGCGTTTGGTGAGTAATATGTTCTTTTGTTGTTATTTTTTTCTGAAATAGTTGCTGAAATAAATGTGTGTTGAAGCGGGTTTGAACTTTAGAGCGTTAATTTAAAATAAAATAATTTAAAAAAATACATATAAAGGATCTATAAGATCAACCTTTATTTAGCAGTTTTTTATTCATGTCCTTAGTACTGCTTATTTAAGCGTACGCTCTATCTGGTATGAGCTCCTTTTCACTATTACACAACGTTTATGTGCTTCATATTACAACGTTGCAATAACCACCGGAAACTAGGTTTGCATTGCGTATATTCAATATTTTAAAGGCTATTAATGATTATATTTGATACTTTGCACAAGCTTTTTTATCATTAAAAAGAAAGAGGTACATTTTAGAGTATTAAAACTTTGCATACATTTCACGATTTACCTAAATTCCACACTCTACTAGGTACTTATAGAATAAACAATTATATAGACGAGTTACAAGGATGGTATAAAAACCCTAAACCGAAATTGTTATTATCATTAGGAAATTAACTTCCTGTCAATGGTTGATTCACAGTTTTTGCGCATTGATCTCTCGACAATACAATAATTACTAATTTGAACAGGTCACGAACATGATTAAGTGTGGGGTGGGGGGGGGGGGGGAGGGTTAATTCGTGTTGAGAATCTATTGAGAAAGTGAGAGCTGAGAATTATGAGAAGATAAATAAACAGTGTCATTGAAGCGCACAAAGTCGAAGAGGGGTGTGTTTATGAACAAAGTGGGGGGCGGGGGGGGGGTTATTATAAATTAATGGTTTTACATAAAATTCCATCGAGAGTGGCTCGTATGAATCGAATGAAAAGAGAATTTTATAAATATGATTTTAATATTGTAATATTGCAACATTATCGCATGAACATTGCATATTAAAAGTAATTGCCTCCTTCAGTTTCACTTTTAAAACAATTTTATAAAGAATCAATTTGAAAATAAATATCTTTATCACACCTCAAGTTAAGAAAGTGACATGAAATACAAAAAACGATAAATGATAAGATTTTTCAACTTTAAAAGTGTTACACATACTTTATTTATGTTTTATTTTATGAACAATTATTTTTGCCTGAAAACTGTTGAAAAGTTTTACACAACTTTTAGCTGAAACTTAACAACTCCTAAAACGTGGTTTATCGTATAAATCTTTACACACATTACCCCAATGGGGGTGTGAGGCTGAAAGTTTGACAAAACATGCAAACTAGAAAAGCACTTAGTGCTCACCCCCTAATTAGTCCTCACCCCCTCAAGTCTCGGAACCGCACTTTTTTCACGTCACTGAACTATATTAATCTTCTAAAGACCCGCCTGCTTTTACACCACAAGTTTAAATCACTAACAATTTTTAAAAAAAAAGAATATTTTACACTGCAAAATAATTAGTGATTTTTTTTTTTATTTTTATTTAGCGCAGTTATCGGGAATTCATTTTCTATTCAACCTTGAGAAGCAGATTAGGGGGTTGAACATTTGAAAGAATGTGTTGTCATCGAAGCGAGTCTATGTGCCAAGTCTCAGCTCGATAGCTTGACGGATAAAGTGTGCTGGGGTGCTGAGTGGTCTGGAGTTCAATTCTAGCCAAAAGACCAGTCAAGCAAAAACAACAACAGCACCCCGGTGGATGGGACTTGTTAACCCTGGTTGGCAAATCATCTAAGAGGAGGAAACTCTGAATTCAAACCAGGAGATGGAATCCTGTAGGCGGATAACATTGGTACAATGAAACATTCCGACTACTTCTGCGACACCACTGGATTCAAGATGTATCAACCGCATGATGTTCCTTTGTGTTATCCAGCGGCGTGGAGAGAGGCGATTTGCTGCTGGGAGCCAGTTTATAATCCTAGAAGAATTATCACAGGCCTTGTGGATTTCGTCCTGCGAAGTCATCACCATCGTCATCACAGACGGATGCCAGCTGTTGTGTAGAAGACGTTTTTACGTCACATTTCCCCGTGCCGTGAACACCGTCTGACTCAATTTGGCTGCGTCAGTATTGGGTGTGGGTTATTCCCTTTGATCTTGGCCTTGTTTATTACCACTAACAAAGAAAAATAATTATTGTCTGTTCTAATCGAATTTTGTGGAAGGGTTGGGAATCAACTGGAAAGGTAAACATTGTGTAAGACGTTTCCAGAGACGTCAGTAGATCCGACTATAGAT